CCCCCACCTCCCCCTCTCCCATGTCCCCCCAGAACTGTCAGTCCCATTGTTTTCTCCAGATTGTTCATCCAGCCTGTCCTATCCAGACAGGCCTAGGCAACACTCTTAATATAACAGCAGTAAAATATATTGCTGCATTTTGGGACAGTATTCGTAAAAGGTTGAGGTAGCTTCTTTCTCACCAGATCAGCATATCTGCATGTGGGAGGATCTGCCTGGAGATGGATAGAGGAGCCGTTTCTTGGTTCCTAAGACCATCAGAAATAATGTGTTTTCTCATGGTCTTAGGTGACCCCTGTGAAAGGGCCATTGGACCCCCAAAGGGGTCGTAACCCACAGGTTGAGAACCGCTGACTTAGAGCCAATGTCATAGCTCTATTAATTGCCACTTAAGGTATAACTAGGAGCCTGGTGGTGCATCGGTTACAAGATGGGCTGCCGTCTGAAAGGTCAGCAGTTCAAAACTACCATCCCCTCTGAGGGAGAAAGACAGGGCTTTCTACTCCCTTTAGAGTTACAGTCTTGAAAATTCTCAGGGGCAATTTTACCCTGCCCTATACGGTCTCCGTGAGATGGCAGTGAGTTTTTAAGAAGGTGTAGCTGATATTAGAGCTAGGGGATGGGCCCCACAGGCCCACGGCAAGCCCTGTGGTCAAGTAGAGACTATCAGGGCGTTCCAGAGGTGGTCCAGGAACCAGCTGCTTCCCACCATGCTGGGTGATAGGAAGCCAGCCTGCAAAGCACAGAGAGGGCACCCTGCCTTGGTGTCTGTGTGTGAGTTTGCCCCTCTGGACCTTTTGTGCATAGGTGTATGTGTAGTGTGTGCTCTTCTGAAGGATTCAGTCCTGGAGCTGAAAGGTGTGCAAGTCTCGCAACTCGCTGGGCTGGGGTGGAAGGATTCCCCAGGTGGGTTACCTGCTCCTGCCCTGCGTCAAAGACCGGCTCTCCAGGGCTGTAGAGACTAGTGGGAGAGACAGAGCGGGTCTGGTTTGGTGGCCTGTGCTTTGTGGAGAGGTAAGGGAAGGCTTCCCAGAACACCAGGTGACTGTAGAAGGACAGAGAGGAGTGTGCCCAGTGGGTGAAAAAGGAAAGAGTGTGCCAGACTAAGCAGCGGGTGCAGTACAAACATACACTCTTAGCTTGGGGCTGAGCAGAGCCAGCGGAATCCAAGAGAGCTGGGAGACTGCCTTGCAGGGGCAGGGTAATGGTGTGAGCAAAGGGCAGCTCCTGGACCTGCAGAACATCCAGCCACCTCGTAACCTGGACCCACTAAACTCTCACTGTTGTGCGTGGCTTTGGATCTTCCACTGACTGCACACTAACATTTCTATCGGGTTCATTTCCTCTGGACATGCCACTTGTGACCAGAACTTACAGCACCTGCTTCCAAAAGCCCAGCTGTCTGTGATCAGATCACCTGGGGGGGGGGGGGCGCTGGACACAGCTGCTCCTGACACATGTGCATCCTGACACATGTGCAGCCTCTGCACTCAGTCTTGGCCAGCCAGTGGTTGTGGGGGGCTGTGGTGTTGATAGGGTTGCCACTGCCCTGCCCTGAAGTCTGAAGTCTCTGGAGAGTCATGTGAACCTATAAGTGCTAATTGCTTTTTAACCTGTTAAGTTTTTGCTGTGGGCTAAACATACTGCTTGTGTTATCTTTCCTCCTCTGCAGTAGTACAGGGCCTCACACTTGGCCACATGAAAACAGCCAAGGCTCTGAGGTTCAATACCGTGGTTTAAGTTTCACAGCCCCTAGATTGTACAGTCATAGCTTGAACCCAACTCTGTCTGATTCCAACACTCTCTGAGCTACCACACTGTGTTGTGGTGCCGCCGCCGCCCCACCCTCCACCCCCCAGGGTGCTTTGGGTGGCTTGCCTGCCAGCTCCATTTTTCTGGGAGTTCACTGGGCCACAGTGAGCCTGCTTCCAGCTTGGGGGTGGGGGGAGGCGAGGAGTCCCGAGTGACACCTTATCACAGCAAAAGTGTATGGGAGCTTTCTGTTCTGCTTAGGAGGAAGGTGAAAATTGAAAAATATCACTTCCGCCTCCTCTACAGAAGTCATTAACACGGCAACGTGATGGGGGGCTTGGGCAAACCATGGGGCTCCCCTCTCCCTGTGGGTGTGTCGAGACACTGCTTCCCAAGAGGCAGCTAGGGCATTCACCTGTCACGCCCCCCTCCTGCTCAACGCCCTTTCTGTTTCTCAGGAACTCCTTCAGGACCTTCTCACAGGAGCTCAAGAGCAGCGCCTTCTCCTCTCCCAACCAGAGAGCCCCCGGCAGCTGGGTGGAGGGCAGATGGCTCTGTGATTAGGTGGCTGGGGAGGGAGTGGCCAGACAAGAATGTGCTTGGGTGTGGGAGAGGGTAGAGCCAGGCACCCTGCACTCTCCCTCATCCTGAGAAAGGACTTCTGGACTCTGCTGGGCAAGTCGTTCGTTCCATGGGGTCCCTCTGAGAGGGACCTGCCGGGGTGTGCTTTCAGGGCCAGGAGTCCCGGCCACCACGACCACGGGCTCTAAACCACTGGGTTAGGGGGATGTGTGTGACAAAGGAAGAGATGCCCACGCAGAAATAGACTGCTGGTGATGGAAAGGTCACGGTTTCAGTTTCTTCAGTGCATGTCTTTTGTAAAACATGAGACCGATAAATATTTCCTAGTAAATTGTACAAGTGGACCTCCCTCACTTGAAGATTAACCTTCTCTGTACACACACACACACACACACACACACACACACCACACCACCCTCTTTTAGGAATGGTGGCCATCAGGTCCTGGCCAGTGGGTGGCTGAGAGATGGTGGTATTGAAGGCCACATTGTTCTCACTGATTTTGATATTCCCTGCTCCCTGCTTTTGGCAACAGTGGGTGATGGATAGGAAAGAAGCCAAATTTCTGTTACACTTTTCTGCCTACGACCCAAAAGAGGGCTTCTCCGTGCCACATCACAGTTCCACCATCTCTGACATGGTGAAGGCTGGGTCTGCAGCCCTGCCGTGGGAGGTGGGGCCTGGCTCAGGTGACGGTGAGGCCCCTTATGCTGTCTCTGCTCCTCTGATTGTGGCATGTTTATTATCTAACCCGGTGTTCAACAGCTGACCACGCCCGCTTGGCTACGCTTTGTGCCACTGCAAGAGACTCCACAGCCAGCGGCTGGAGCAGACATCTGCTTTCTCCCAGTTGAGGCAGCTAGAAACCCGACTTCAGGGAACCACTCTCAGGGAGGGTTTCTCTCTCTGCACTGTGGGGGAAGGGCCTGGTCTCATAGTGTCTGCTCATGAGGGTGTCTCCGATCTCTCCGCTGACTTGCTTTCTCAAAGGAGGTGGACACAGGAGAGACCTGACAAGAATTCCTGCTGCTTTACCGTAACCAAGACAGCCCACTGTCATGTGCTTTATAATCATAAATACAGAGGTAAGGGTTTCTAACCCTTCCTTTTTGAGAGTCAGAATTTAGTCTGACTCACCCTTGAACCTCTGATCTCAACATCCCCTCGAGCCCTGTGTTCCTGATGGGATGCAGGCCCTCTGGGCGTTCCTGGGGTCACTCATGTCCTCTTCTCTTGCAGCGCAATGTCCCTGCTCTTCTCTCGATGCAACTCCATCGTCAAGGCCAAGAAGGATAAGAGACACATGGCGGAGGTGAACGCTTCCCCTCTCAAGCACTTCGTCACTGCCAAGAAGAAGATCAGTGGCATCTTCGAGCAGTTGGGGGCTTACATTCAGGAGAGCGCCACCTTCCTGGAAGGTGAGGCAGTGCCCCTCAGCCAGGGCCTTGCCCTGGGAATGCTGCATTGGGAAGCTCTATTCTTGGAATCCTGCGGATTCGCCTAGGGAGATTGGACGGAGAAGGCAGGGGAAGTACCATGTGTGAGAATCCCATGTGTTCTGTTGACTCACGAGGGCTAGGTGAACGTCTCACTAACAGCCAGCGGGTTGAGGTGTGGAGAGTTGTCCAATAGCTTTATAAGGGACAGAGCTGGGCTTCGACCAGGTGGCTCTGACACCAGAGCCTGTTTGTTCCCCAGGGCCTGGGCCTGGCCGCTGTTGGTGCTGTACACTGTCTGGCTGTTGGTCAGTGTCCTCCGTGCTATTTTTAGATTGACATAGGACTGTGAATAGGAAACTTACGTCACCTGTACCTTTCTCACTAGTTGCTGTTCTGTCAACAAAGGGGCGGGTTCCTGGGTCCCCTTAGTCTGAGCGCCAGCTCCAGCCTCTGCCTCTCAGGATCCCCCTAGAAGGGTCCAGGTGCAGGGGTTGCTTGAAGACCCACAAGCTGTGTCCGTGGGCCCTGGTTTTCCTCCTTTGTGACAGAGGAGCTCAGGGAAGAGCAGAGATTTTCAGGTCGCGATCTGACAGGACCTAGTTGCTCAGTGGGGATGCCTAGAGTAAGGTGACCAGATTTAAAGTGGGACACCATTGACCGGGGGGCAGGGGGGGTGTTTTTGATTAAAAATTTGGTCTATATGTACCAAATAGACCGTTCCCTAGCTTGTCGTGCATTCTTTCCAAAAATCGGGACTTTTTAAAAACACCGAAAAATCGTCACTGTCCAGCCAAAAGCCGGGCATCTGGTCACCTTAGCGTAGAGTCAACTTCCCGAAGGAGGACCTGCTTCTGCCCTCGCAGCTTTCAACCAGAGCAGCTCAGTGCCTGCTTGTTTTGCAGTTGCTGTTGTCCACAAGGCTCCCTTGGAGGGATGGACTCATGTCCACTCTCAGGCCCCTTGCTGTGTCCTAGCTCGGGTGCTGAGTTTTAAAGGCCTGAGGTTGACCCGTGGTGGGCAGTTAGCAGTGCTCTGGCGTGCTGGCATGCAGAGCCAGGCAGACCGCCCGCTGCCCCAGAGCCCACGGCTGTCTTCCCGTGTGTCCTGAGTGTCGTTTCTCTAGACGCTTCTGCGTTGTGGAGGAGCACTTGCTTAATGACAGTGGACGGGTTGGCCTCACGCATGGGCGCTTCGCTTTCCTTTTTGTGATGATGAGCGGCCTCCCTGTTAGAGCGGAGCGGAGGATGAGCTATGGTGACCCTGAGGTGTGTGGGGGTCGGGGTGGGGGTGGTGACTGCTTTGGGAATGTCCTATAGCGCAGGTGATAAGGTGGTGTTGGCCTGGGGCTTCTCTCCGTAAATGCAGCCACAGGCCTGAGAGCCGGTAAGGGAGCTGGAGTGTGGCGTGGTGGTGCTGGAAAGGGGTGACTGGAGAGTATGGGGGAGTCTCACTGGCTTGGCCACACTTGTCAGGGCAGTAGCTGGCAGGAAGCTTCACCAGGCTGTCTCTGAAATGTTCCCTCTGGGTTGGGGCTGTCTGCTGGATGGTGGGGGTTGGGGGTGCCCAGGGGCCACACATTGACCTCTTCCACTGCAGCTCGTGCCAGACACAGGTCTAGATGGAAGCGGCTCAGGGTCTGGCCTCAGCCACTGGCCTGTGAGGCATTGTTCCCCGCCACTGTCTGTTCGTTTAGTAGCACTGAGCAGCTGCTGAGCACAGGACCAGGGAGCAGGTGGGCCTGGCTTGGCCTCAGATGCTAGGGATGCAGACGGGTGAACTTGTGGCCCCACTGCTGAGGGAGGAGCTCAGAGAGGGGTGTAGGTACTGTGAGGGAGCCCCAGTGCGGGCTTCCGACAAACCCAGTGGTCAGGGCAGACCTCCTGGAGGTCATATGATCTAAGCCAGGCCTGAGGCTAAGCGGACATGGGGCTCGCCACCCATGGCAGGGCCCCACTTGCTCTGAGAGGGATGGGGGCTCTAGGCAGCCTGGCCACGCCTGGAGAGGTGAGGAAGCTGATGGCTTTGGGGAGTGAGGGAGGTGTCAGAGGCAGGGGTGGCAAGAGACCAGGCTGATCGGTAAGCAGGGCTGAATCAGGCAGGCCCGTGTCTAATACAGAACGGTGCAGAACATGGACTCCAGATTGAGACCCTGACCCTGCCATTGACGCTCTGTGTGACAGGTCAGTGTGAGCGTGTTTGGAGCATGGTTCACGAGGCCTGGCGTGTAGTCTGAACGTCCTGGTTGTTCTCTGTTATGTGAACAATAAAGAACAGTGACAGGGCCTCTCATGAGCAATCCCCATGCTCGCAGCACGTCGTGCTTAAACCCCCTGAGCCTCACAGCCACCCTGTGAGGCAGAGCCCGTCCCGCTCAGGTGTATGGGCACGGAAAGGAAGACCTGGGCGGTTTGCTGGCAGTCACAAAGGCAGCACGTGGGAGCGTCCTGGAGGGACTCTGGCCACAGCAGAGTGAGGGTCCCTGCTACCCCAGACTGTGTCTGTGGGACCCCTCTGCTCATGGGCTCACACGTCCAAACCCCCCCTCCAGAGACCCACCGGAATGTGGAGCTGGACCCAGTCACAACTGAGGAGCAGGTTGTGGACGTCAGAGGCTACCTGTCCAAAGTCAGGGGTATCAGCGAGGTGCTGGCCCGACGGCACATGAAAGTGGCTTTTTTTGGCCGGTGAGTCCTTGAAGCCCTCACTCCTCCTTCGTGGCTGGGAGGGAAGGGAGAGAGGAGCCGGGGGTGGTGGAAGCCCTGGGTACCCACGCACGTAGACTGCTGCTCCAAGGCGGGGCAGCTCACCTGCCCGAGGAGCTCTTCTTGCTTCCGTGGTGTGGATCACCGGTGTGCTGGATGCCACCTGGCTGACTTCAACGCATGGCGACCAGTGCGTGTGGAGAGGAAGGAAGGGTGCTTTGCAGGGTTTCCAGAAGTAGACTGCCAGGCCTTTCTTCCAAGGTACCTCTTGGTGACTTGAACCGTCAACTGTTCAGTTAGCACATTTACCGTTCATACTGCCCAGGGACTCCTCGAGGTGTGAGAGACACCCAGGCAGCTTGGGTGCTGAGGAGTCCTGCCCTAAGGGTGGTGACCTCAGATGCGGCCCTCGTCTCCTCCGGGCTGTCCTTTTCCTCATCCTCGCAGTCTTAGGTGAGCGGGGCACCTTGTGCTTCGCTACCTGTGAGGCCACGTTCAGGGAGAGGAAGACGATGCTTGGCGCAGACCGAAGGCTCTGAGTCCCCGTGCAGCAGGTCTGTTGAGAAGAGCTGGTGACAGGGAGGCTACTGAAGTCAGGGGAGGGATGTCAGAGGCAGCTAGGAGCCGAGGTGGTCTCTGGACAAAGAGGTGTGTGGGGGCAAAGAACAGGGAGGAAGCCCTGTGTGGCAAACAAGCCTCAGTGTGGTCTAGCTGTTAGTCTGAGGGTGAGTCATTGACTTCCAGTGAGGAGGGGAGACAGACAGATGTGAGGCAGAGGCTCGAGCTCAGTGGCTGGGCTGGAGTCTCAAGGGCCAGGGTTGGTGTCTGTGCTGCCACCTGGCTCCCAGAGCCACCTGCAGGGCCGGTGTGAGGTGATGTCCCAAGGAGCCAGAGACCTTTGTCCCTTCTCTCTGCCTGCTCCTGTGCAGATAAGTGTCTTGTCCTGGGGTAGAGAATGCTGCTTCAGCTAGGCGCTCGCAGGTGGCACCGTTGTGCGTGGCCGCGGGTGGATTCTGACCCCGAGTGACCCGAGTATGCATAGTAGCTCGGCTCTGGAGGCTTTTCAAGGCTGGGGCCTTTCCAAAGCGGATTTCCAGGCCTTTCTTCCAAGACCCCTTGGGGTGGGTTTCCGTGTGCCAGTCCTTCTGGGCTCCGGTGACCCTGCAGAGCACCCAGCCTCTGAACTCCATTATGAGCCCCACAGCACAGGCCCTGCCTGGTGCCCCTGACGGCCAGTGTCTCCTCCAGGACAAGCAATGGGAAAAGCACCGTCATCAACGCCATGCTCTGGGACAAAGTCCTGCCCTCGGGGATCGGCCACACCACCAATTGCTTCCTGCGAGTGGGGGGCACGGAGGGCCACGAGGCCTTCCTCCTCACCGAGGGCTCGGAGGAGAAGAGGAGTGTCAAGGTGAGGCCTGGGTCTGCGCCCGGGCGATGGTGGGCAGAAGCTGGCGTAGACCCACCAGCCTGTCATGGGGACAGGGCCCCCTGCCAGGAACATAGGAAACCCTGCTGTAGCTGCCCCTCCAGGGCAGGTCAGAAACATGGAGGGCCAAGAGCCAAGGACCTTCCAGTGCCCATGTCCCCGCAGACCGCCTCTGCAGCTAAGGGGTCAAGTGGCCCTTGTTCGCCTGCAGTTCCTCTGTGGGTCCAGGGCTCAGACATCTACGTTGTCCAAGAGGCAGCTGAGTCCTTGTTTGGGGCAAGATGCTCATTTCATTGTGGATCCCTAAAGATTTATTCAGTGTAGAGCAGGCTCCGCTTCAGGAAGTCAGAGAGGAGAAAAGTACATTGATTAACAGGTAGGGTTACACAGCTGATTAACTGCTGTCCATAAGTTATACACCTTTAAAAAGTTGAATTGGTGAAAGTTGTGTAATAGTATATTTAAAACAGTGGTTTCCTGGTCTGCGGTTGAGGGCCTGGTGTCATGGGACGTCCTAGCTACTTGGCCTAGCAACGTGTTGGTGCTTCTGTTGTACTTCCTCGTTCATCGAGCAGTGCCCGTCTCTGTTCACGTGGAACAGCGGCAGAGGAGGCGGAAGTGGCCTGGGTGGCTAAGTGGCTCCATGACAGCTGCCTTCTTTATCATGTGACCCAGGACTGCTGGCTGTCATGACCAAACATTTGGGTCAGCGATTCTCTAAAAGAATCCTGGTCAACAGCGGGGATTTATAAACAGTCTTTCAAATTCTCATGGAATCTAGATTTTCTGGAATCATGAAAGTTGGATAAATTCCTGAAACCATTGCCCTGGGATCATTTCTAAAGTTTAACCCAAAACCATCCCCTGATGCCTTTCTAAAAACCAAACAGCTTAGTTTATCCAGTAACGAAGTCTATCGTGAACATTATGCTCCTTAAAAAGAACCCTCTGCAGGGGTCAAGTGGATGAAGCCGTTCCAAAGGCAGGAAACGTACGGAGCCCTCAGCTTAGGTCAGCGGGAAGGGACAATGTGGCAAAAAGGAGGGTGAGGAAGACGGCCCACCTTGAAGACTCATTGGCGTCGCTGCATGTTGTAGAATGGCATGATGGAGCGAGTGCTGAACTGGGGTGCTTTCTGCCAGGTCTGGGCTCAGCCACAGAGGCAAAAAGAAGCTCACCAAGAGCAGGGAGCCGAGCATTTTCCGTGCGGACGAGAGAAGGGTCAGGGATCGGGCAGCAGTCTCCGGCCCCGACGCTGTGGCCTAGCAGTTGAGGCAGCAGGGCATGTGGCTACCTGTCCCTTGGCCTGACCGCTCTCCGCCTCCTCCCCCATCAGACCGTGAACCAGCTGGCCCATGCCCTCCACCAGGACGAGCAGCTGCACGCCGGCAGCCTGGTGAGCGTGATGTGGCCCAACTCCAAGTGCCCACTTCTGAAGGACGACCTTGTGCTGATGGACAGGTCAGAGGGTGGGCAGACCACATGGTCATTTCCGGGTCCTCCAGGCTGCAGTCCCCTGGGCTCTCCCCTGCTCTGCTGAGGTCTCTCAGCTTTCCGGCCGCCTCATCCGAACGCCCCCTCCTCTGGGACTCCCTCCGACATCGACTGTCCCCACAGCATCAGGTCGCCAGCATGTCCTCATGCCCAGCAGTCTGTCCAGGGACAGGAAGGTGTTTGGATTGGGGCTGGGTGGGTGGGGTGTTGGAGTACGTGGTATAGCGTGTGTCTTGAAGGAGTGCTTTGTCCTTGCGTTGTGGTCAAGTAGTAACTGTTCCAAGACACGAGGTCCTATGTATGGTGACTATCTTAATGTTCTTAACTATAAAACTCGTCGGTCCCTAAAGTTAAATGGTATGGTACCATGAAACCCATGAGAGCCAGACCTGTGTGCACCTGTCGGAGAAGGAGAGTGAAAATACTCCGCACTGTCCAGACCAGTAGGAAAGTGCTAAGACTGCGCCTCAGGTGGCAGACCTGCGGGCCCTCACCCGCTAAGTCCTCGCCCCCACAGGTTTCACTGTATGAAACCAAGCTCACTGCCCAAGCGCACAAGCTAGAACTGCCCCTGTGGGTTCTAAGGCTGTGGGTCCGTAAAGCCTCATTGTTCTCCCATGGAGGGGCTGATGGTTTGGAATTGTATGGCTTGAGGTTAGCAGCCCAATGCTTAATCCATGACACCGACAGGGCTCATGATGTTTGTATCAGTGGTAGATACATGCAGTGGAAACACACTTCCAGACTACTGGCTGCCTTGCAAACGCAGGTCTTTCAGAGCAGGGCCAAAGACTGGGTGGGCCTGATGAGGTTGGCTTCCTCCGTTACCTTTAGCCCTGGTATCGATGTCACCACCGAGCTGGACAGCTGGATCGACAAGTTCTGCCTGGATGCTGATGTGTTTGTACTGGTGGCCAACTCGGAGTCCACCCTGATGCAGACGGTAAGTCTGCTCGATCACCAGCTTCACTCCCCGGCCGAGGCTGGCAGGGAGGGGGCTGCGAGCCGTGGTCGGCCCAGCTCCTCCTCCACCGTGGCCTTGCCCCCCCTTGTCTAGGAGAAGCAGTTCTTCCACAAGGTCAGCGAGCGTCTCTCCCGCCCCAACATCTTCATCCTGAACAACCGCTGGGACGCGTCCGCCTCGGAGCCCGAGTACATGGAGGAGGTGGGTGCTCTTTCTGGGCAGGTTCGGGGAAGGCCACTGTCCTCCGGGCTGACAGCGTGACTGCCCTGAGTTCATCTCCTCTCCAGAGATATCCTAATGTTCTCTGGGGGTACTGCTTTAACCCCCTTTCTCCGGTCCCTTTCCTAGATAGGTCCCTCTTTGAAAGGCTTTCACACAGAGCTACCGACATCACCACCACTTAGCTCTTCCTGGGCTGGACCTGAGGCTCATGTCTTTGTGGAGGTTTAATCGGGGCCCACAGTCCATGAAAGAGGCTTAAAGGCCAACCACATGTGGCTCTTGTCATTAGGGCAGGAGGAAATTGGGACCGACTGGTAGCATGCGGTCAGCAGGCCCGAGCTCCACACTGGCTGCCGTGGGGCAGTGTGCCTTTGGGAAATTGCTCAGCCTTTGGGCGATTCTGTGTCCTCACCTATGAGGTGGGTGTAGTGCCTAGAGTTAGAGGATGGCAGGTCCCCACAGGCGGAGGAGTGCCGAGTGTGAGGTATGGGAGCCTAGCATGTCAGAGCGGCTCGGGGGTTTCTAACGCACTCATGTAGAAGGCGGCCCTGGGAGGGAGCCCAACTCACCCCACTTCTGGGGCACCTGGGTGAGGCGCTGTGGGCTCTTAACAGAAGGTACCTCAGGAACATGTACACTTGTGTGCTGTGTACCCACACTATGAAATGCTTGGGAAGATGTGCCTCAAGCATTCCTCGTGGCATTGGTTCTTTGGGGCAGTGCGGTGGTTAAACAGATGGACGAGACACCTGGCCTGGTGTGTTTATGCCTTTGGTGATTGCCCCAGCTGACTGTGCTGATGCTGATTTTATACAAGAGGCAGCTAGGGGCTGTGGACGCCACCTGGAGCCCCTTTTCCAGCAGAGCACACCACATGCATGTGCACACTCATCTGTTTGGGTTCCAGGTCCGGCGGCAGCACATGGAACGTTGTACTGGCTTCCTGGTGGACGAGCTGGGTGTGGTAGACCGAGCCCAGGCCGGGGACCGCATTTTCTTCGTATCGGCCAAGGAAGTGCTCAACGCTAGGATCCAGAAAGCCCAGGGCATGCCTGAAGGAGGTAACCACAGCACCCTTGTGTTTCCTGCTCCACGGGGGTTGGAGATGGTTGCTGAGGGTGGGCTGGTGGAAGGTTGTCCTCCACACAGTGCCTGCTGAGGGCTGGCCCGCTAATTCTGTGGGCGTCTTTGGGTGAGTGCTAATGCCGTGCCCTTCTCCTAGGGGGCGCTCTTGCAGAAGGCTTTCAAGTGAGGATGTTTGAGTTTCAGAATTTTGAGAGGCGATTTGAGGTGAGCCCGTGGGGTTTGAGCTCTGGGATCTGGGCCTCCCCCAGGCCTCCAGCCTGTGTCCCTAGCCGTGAGAGCCAGAGAAGCTGGCAGTGGCTGTGGCCCTGGCCTCCCTCACCGCCGCTGCCATTTCAGGAGTGCATCTCCCAGTCTGCGGTGAAAACCAAATTCGAGCAGCACACGGTTCGGGCCAAGCAGATCGCAGAAGCCGTGCGCCTCATCATGGACTCTCTGCACATCGCGGCGCAGGAGCAGCGGTGAGCGCTGGGCACCCAAAGTGACCACTCAGCCTGTAGACTCAGGTCTCCCCGGGGCAGCATCCTTTCCGCTGGCCCCCAGACCACGTTAGGCCTGCTTGGGGCGGCCTGGGCAGAAGGGGGCTGAGTGCATTCTCTTGGGCCACTGCAGTGCCACCCCTGAAGCACCTGGCGGAGGCCCCCAGGTTGTACCATGCTTGCCCATGGCCACTTTCACAACTTTGTACAGAGCACGTTTTTAAGTCATTTTTTTCCTTGGAGGGGTGATGGGAGGATTTACAACTTGGAAAAGCACAGAGTGCAAGGTCAAAGCACCGGGCTTCCATCTAAGTCTTTTCAAGTGACAGCACCAGTTATAGTGCATTGCCCTGGGGGCAGTTGTGCCCCGCCTGTCTGAGCAGAGCTGCGCCCCACGGGGTTTTCAGAAGTGAACAGTGCCTTTACGGTACCTTTGGGTGGACTTGAACTGGCAGCCTTTTGATCAGCCCTGTCTGAACCACTGGCGTCACTCGGGCTTCCGAGTTCAAATGAAACACAGCAGGAATGGATGTCTGTTTACTGTTTCCACACTGCCCCCGCTCGGAGACAGCCACCGTTGTCAATTTGATAGGCAGCCTGCACCCTCCACTTTGGGAAATGCAGTGTGACATAGTGCTCCGGCTTCAAGTGCACGGCTCCAGTATCGCACCGCGTGCACCGCAGCTCCCTTCAGTTTCCACTCTGTATCGATGACGACGTGGTGCTTGAGTATTTGACGCCTGTTGTACTTTATTGATTTCTGGCTGCAGTAGGTGGTGCGTGCTGACAACTTGATTCTGACCCATGGTAACCCTATAGGTCTGAGTGGAACTTCCCTCTACGGTCTCACAGGCTGTAATTTTTACAGTCACTTAGCAGTTTGCTGTACTGTCATGGCTTCTGTGTTGCACTGATGCTCCAAACTGTGCCAGGTACTTTAAATACCAGCAGGGTGTCACTCATGGTAGGCAGATTCAGACAGCGTTTCCACACTGAGAGGACAGGGGAGAGAGGGACTTAGAGGACTGGCCAGTGAAGGCCTTGCTGCTGACAACGCAGGGGACTGGAAGCACGCAGGAGGGGGCTCTGCACGTTGTGTGGCGACGAGGAGTTAAATGCTCTTTTTCCATGAGCACCGGGAAGCCCCTTTGTAGCGATGAATCGAAGATAGACTGGGCAGATAAGTCTGTAAGAGACTGGCTTCGTTACAGTTTGAACAGCAGTTGTCACTTTGAGGACCAAGGTGTGTCGCCCACGCCAGCGTTTTCAGTCATCGCGGGTGTGAGAGCTAGATGAGCGGGGAGCCTGCAGGAACGATGCCTGAATGAGGGTGCTGGAGAAGAGCGTGGACATGCCATCGCCTGCTCGGAGCAGGGAGAACTCTGACCTGAAGTGCAGCCAGACTGCTCCTTGGAAGTGAGCATGGCGAGACTGGGTCTCGTGTGCTTTGGGTCTGTTATCCTGAGAGGCCAGCCCGAAGGACGTCATGCTTAGATAAGTAGAAGGGCAGTGGCAAAGGAAAGGCCCTTAAGGAGAGGTATTGGCACAGTGGCGGCAACACTGGGCGCGAACGTAACGATCGTGGGGGCAGCCCAGGGCTGGACGTGTTCCGTTCTGTTGGATGCAGAGCAGCTGTCAGTCGGGCAGCTCTGTGGCCCTAACAGCAACCGCAGCCGCTCTGCAGGGATAGACGGGCGGTCTTTCCCCTGCTGAGTCAGTGGCAGGCGCAGACTGCTGCCCTTTAGCAGCCCAAACCTTAATCATTGCTCCACCAGGGCCCCGCCCCTTTAACTACGCTAGCACGGTCCCTTTGGCTTGGTGTTGGGGCTTCGCTGGTGTGGTTGCAGTGGACATCTGTTCACGGTGCCTTGCCACGTGTGTAAGTCTGTCTAGGACTGATTCCCAGGGTGGGACTGTTCCATCTCCAGCTGTCTGCATTTCCGTTTTTCGTCATTGGTCCAGAACAGCTGTGCCCACTCAGGGTCCCCCCAGCAGCACATGCAGGTGCCCCACTTCCCCACACCTTCACCAGGACCTCAGACTTCGTCGTGTTTGCTGGGCATCTGGGTAGAAAGTGTCCGCTCTTGATTCCAATTCCCTGATGATTAGTCAGAGTATTTCGTCCTGGGCTTGGTGGCCAAGCTTCTTCTGAACCCGAGAGCTCCCAGTCCCCTGCCACGCCGCCACCACCAACCACCATGTTTCCAGAGGGAGACATCGGCGTGAGCAGGCGTCTCACTCCTCTGAAGAGTCTTGGGTGTGAACTCTGCCGGGCTGGTGGGGCCCTGATGTGTGCGCCAGGCCCCTTTCTAGCTCCCCCAGGGGCCTGGCGGGCTCTCACCAGCCTTTTGCTCCCAGAGTTTACTGCCTGGACATGCGTGAGGAGCGGCAAGACCGCCTGAGGTTTATTGACAAACAGCTGGAGCTCTTGGCTCAAGACTACAAACTACGAATCAAGCAGATTACAGAGGAAGTGGAAAGGCAGGTGAGCGACAGGACAGGTAAACGCAGACACCCTCCCCAAGGGCCTTCCAGAAAGCAGTTTTGGCCCTGGCTCAGGCCTGTGGATCTTCCCCTTGGGTCACCTCGTCCCCTGTGTCACCCTGGGCAAGTCTGCACTTCCCTGGGCCTCCTCTGTCGACACGTGGGTGTCTGACTGGCCCGTCTCTACGGTCCTATCTGCCTGGAAAAGCTTCAGACCCACGGGTCAATGAGGAAGCCACTGGCTAGAGAGGAGGGATTGACCGGGCCTCCCCCGGGCTTCACCAGAGCACCTCTACCTCCTCGGTCCTTGACGGCTGCCCCTCTGCTGCAGGTGTCAACGGCGATGGCCGAGGAGATCAGGCGCCTGTCTGTGCTGGTGGACGACTACCAGATGGACTTCCACCCCTCTCCCGTGGTGCTCAAGGTTTACAAGAATGTGAGTGGCCGCTGCCTCCAGCACTTCAGACGCACTTGTTTGAACACACTCCTGGCAGCCATCCGTGTTCTGTTGAGTGTCCCACGTCCTCCCGCTTCCTGTGTCCATTCCTCCTCGAGCCCTCTGAACTTTGTCCTTGGGAAATGCTGCCCTTTCCATCTTAAACATTGCTGAGTCTAATTCGGGCCCCCAGTCTCTGACCACTGTGCTCCACGCTCTCCCTACCCATCCCCGACTTTCTACCGTGACCCTTTTCAGAGCAGACGGCAGTAGCAGCCAGGCCCCGGGTAATTCTTCAGGCTTGGGGCCTCATGACGTGCCTGTGCCTGTGCCTGTGCCGGGCATCACGAGTGCTCTCTGCACGAGGAGACCAATAGGTGCACCTTAGGTGGCCCAGCTGCCTGTCGTCTTCTCTGCTGTTGGGTGGGCTCGCCATGCGGACAGTGCCCCATCGCAGCAGGTCTGGCCACCCTCGTGGGTCCTCGTACTTTGGCTTCTCCCCTCACCTCCCGCTCTGCTGGTAGGAGCTGCACCGCCACATTGAGGAGGGCCTGGGCCGGAACATGTCGGACCGCTGCTCCACAGCCATCACCAGCTCTCTGCAGACCATGCAGCAGGACATGATCGGTCAGTGCAGCAGGGGTGTGGACACGTGGGCTGGGGGCTGCCCTGAGAGCAGATGCAGGCCAAGCCAGCTAAGGCAGTAACCAACCGCCTATGTGTCAGTCATTTGCAGTGAGTCAGCCGGTTGCCTTCAGGTTCTAGGCTAGGTCGTGATTTCATTTGTACCTAGACTTGGGGAGCGGTCCTGCGTTCTCACACGTGAGGCTGAGAGTCTCACCCATCTTAAGCTCAGTGAAGTGTAAGTGCTTGGCAGGCCTGGAGCCTCGCCCTGCCCTCCAGTCATTCCTGCAGCCACTTGTTCTGGGCGGAGGGCCGTGCTGAGCTAGCTGTTCAGTATCTAGCAGGAGCTGGCTGGGCCCTGGAGCCCGAGGCAGGACATAGGTGTGGCACTGGGCCCCGAGCTGATGTGTCTTCCCCCGTTTCTGTCCCTGCAGATGGCCTGAAGCCCCTCCTCCCTGTGTCGTTGGGGAGCCAGATCGATATGTTGGTCCCTCGGCAGTGCTTCTCCCTCAGCTATGACCTGAACTGTGACAAACTGTGTGCCGACTTTCAGGAGGACATCGAATTCCACTTCTCACTTGGCTGGACCATGCTCGTGAATCGGTTCCTGGGCCCCAAGAACAGCCGTCGGGCCTTGATGGGCTACAGTGACCAGGCAAGGAGGGCGGGCCTTCTGAAGAGATCAGGGGCCCTAGGGGCAGCGTGGGCAGCCAGGAAGCATGTCCCTGGCCACAGATAAATGTAATCTTGTCCTAAGCAGTTATAGATGTGAAATTACAAACGTGGGCTGTATTCTCCCTAGGACACATGAAAATATGGATGCAGTTCCAAAACAGAGATAGGTTATTTTAAAATCATTCATCTCTACGTGGTTGCGTGCGGTCAAGCCAATTCCTGCTCGTAGCGAGCCTGAGCCTGTGGGACAGAGCAGAGCTGCCCCTGGTTATTAGGTGGGGCTCCTCATGGGAGCAGCACCAGGGCTTGTCTCCCTCAGGCACTGGTGCTCCACTAGCAGCCTTTCATGGTTGCAGCAAGCACTTAACCATTGCGTCACTAGGGTGCTTTATCCATCTCCACACCACCATTTAAAATTGTAATTAAAAAAAAAAAAATTGTAATTACAGAAGTATCTTTCTCTGTACCACAGTTGTTCCAGAATTCTTAGTACAGGTCCTACCCTGAAGCATTGTGCTCAAAGGCGTGGTAAAAGCTAAAGTCCTTGGCTAATGTGGAGCTTCTTACCTTTTGGAACTGACACGCCACTGTGTCCCTGTCAGCTCCCCTAGTGAATGAGAGACTTCCCACATCCTCCTCTCCCCCTCTGTCCCCTCTCTCTTCAGGTGCAGCGTCCTGTCCCTCTGACACCAGCCAACCCCAGCATGCCCCCACTGCCGCAGGGCTCACTCACCCAAGAAGAGCTCATGGTCTCCATGGTGACCGGCCTGGCCTCCCTGACGTCCCGGACTTCCATGGGCATTCTCGTCGTGGGAGGGGTGGTCAGTGACAGCCCTGTCTTGGGGGGCGGGGTCGTGGTCCCTGTGTTGGCCAGCACTGCCCTCTGAGGAGTCTTCTCTGGCCCCTGGAGTCCTGTGCAGCCCTAGCCCTCAGGGTGTAGGTGCTTCCTCCCGAAATTAGCACGGCCTCCAGAGAGCGCCACTCTTCTCGTCTCCAGAAGGCGAGATTCTAGGATTAGTGGTGGCCTAGGATTAGACCCGTAGCTCCCGTCTGACTCCAAGCCCACCGCCCTTTCCATGTGGGGCCTATGCTGCATGGGTCGGGTGGGATAGGAAGGTGACCCAAGGAATCGGCAAACCTGGGATTCAGAGAGGAGCGTGGCAGGGAGTGCCTGTTGGGAGAGGAAGAAACGAAGAGCCCGACTTGCAAGGATAGAAGATGAGATGCAAGGCAGGGCTCGAACCCTCATCTCTCCAGCGCCTGCCTTTCCATCAGTAGGCTTTCCTCTGGGTGCTGGGCACTCCTTTTACCACCCAGCCGTTGGAAACAGGCAGACGGCATCGTGGGCACTCTAGATATGTGTGTGGCAAACCAGACCAAAGCTGTGCGTCGGTGGCCAAGTGGCCGTTGTCCCAGATCCACGTGTCCAGTGTGGGGTCCCCCAGTTCTAAATTAGAGATGACCTTGCTCTTCTGCCCTTGGCGGCTTCTAAGGAGATGCCTGGGAAACCTGAGGCTCAGAGAGGAGGGGCAGCGGTGGGGCTGTGGGGGCGTGCTGACCCCTCTGCCCCGCCCCGCAGGTGTGGAAGGCAGTGGGCTGGCGGCTCATTGCCCTGTCTTTCGGGCTGTACGGTCTCCTGTACGTCTACGAGCGTCTGACCTGGACCACCAAGGCCAAGGAGAGGGCTTTCAAGCGCCAGTTTGTGGAGTACGCCAGTGAGAAGCTGCAGCTCATCATCAGCTACACCGGCTCCAACTGCAGCCACCAAGTCCAGCAGTGAGTGGACCCAAAGCCCCGGGGGCCGCTCCTGTCATCCTGACCTGGCAGCTGCGGGTGTGGTGTCCCCAGCATCCTGAGCCCCACTCCCCCAGGGTCTTTTGCAGCTGTGCTGCCCAGATTTGAGGCTGGGTAAGGAGAGGTCTCCTCAGTCCACCCGTGTCCCACCTGGCACTAAGTGGGCCTCGGCTCCCTCAAGGCAGGGAGAAGTGGGAAGACAGGTTGACGGTCTCTTATTTAGAGGCTGCCTTTAGAGCTGGGGCTGTGGGTCTCGCTTTGTGGCAGATCTTGGGTCCGGTGGACCTGTAGCTGCTTGGCGGAGGGTGAGGGGTGAACACTTGCTTGTGTTCCTTGTGGTGGCCAGACTCTTGGCTGGGCATTTACCCTTGCAGCCAAGTTTATCCCCCAGTCTTGTGAGCTGCACGCGGCTTTCATGGCCCCAGGAGGAAAGGAGACTGGAGGAACAGCTGCTGTGCGGGCCTGCCTGTTAGCAGAGCTGGGTCAGAGCTGGATCTGAGGGTGCAGGGGCCACCCGTGTTCTCAGAGCCAGCCGCCCACTGCCAGCCCCTGGGGCTGGTCTGGCCCTAACCTCGACGTGGCCCGCTTGCTTCCACTTCTGCCCCGCAGGGAGCTGTCTGGAACTTTTGCACATCTGTGCCAGCAAGTCGACATCACCCGGGAAAACCTGGAGCAGGAAATTGCTGCCATGAACAAGAAAATCGGAACCCTCGATTCCCTTCAGAGCAAAGCCAAGCTGCTCAGGTATGCTTGGTCTCAGCCTGCGAGGCTGGGAGCTCCGCTCGTGATGGAGGTGGTGGGGCTCAACAAGACTCGTCACCGCCGGCAAGTGCTTGAGCCCAGGGACAGGAGAGGAGCCCAGGGCCCTGGCCTCCCAGCCCGCAGCTCCTCTTCCTGGGCTGCGATGCTCCTGGTTCGCTGCGCAGGGCTGGGCACTCTGCAACCTTGTCCCGTGAGGTGGTGGTGGTGGTGGGGCACGATCCCTGTTTTACCAATGGCAGAGCTGGTGCTCAGAGGAGAGAGAGGTCGCCCGTCTGGGATCTCAGAGCAACTGGTCAAGCGAGGGACAGGCCCAGAGGGCTGAGCATCTTCATTGTCACTGGGGCTCCCCGGCAGGCCCACTGTCACCACAGGGAAGTTTGTCACCACCCCACTGCCCGGCAGGCCAGGGTCTTCTGTCACGTCCCGGAGGGGTGTCCCCCGTAACCAGGAACTGCCACCCACACTGAGCAGGGCAGAGAGCACCTAGGGAGCCGGGGTCATGGGCGCGTGTGCTGACACTGGCGTTCCCTCTGCTTTCCCCTTGGCAATTTATGACAGCCTGCAAAAGTCCACAGCCAAGATACCATCAACCTGAGTGGGTGGAGGGGACCATGTACTTCCTGTAGTAGTCAGCCTGTGGGTGTTAGAGGCTTGGGGCAGCCACCTCAAAGGGTGTCAGTCTAGTGCCCTCACCACATAAGGGGACTTCCCTTGCTGGTACCCCTTCTGCAGCCATCTCCGATCGAGAGGCACAAGACCTTGGCTCAGCTCCATCCCTCACCAGCCGCCTGACCATAGGAAGGCACGCAACCTTTGTGGGAGGACCTGCTGGGGCTCCTCAAAACCAGGCCTGGCATGGTGTCATCCTGCCTGGTTCCAGCTCCCGCTACAAAGTTGCTGTTTCTTTGCAGGAATAAGGCGGGCTGGTTGGACAGCGAGCTCAACATGTTCACGCACCAGTACCTGCAGCCCAGCAGATAGTGGCCTGCCACTGAGCTGGAGGCTGCATGGAGGAGGCAGAGCCGGCCCCTCAGTGCTGCCCCAGGGCACGGGCAGCACCTGCCGGGCGCCACCCCAAAGCGAGCACACCCACCGTCTTGTACTGTCTCGAGCCCTTACGCACTAGTTGTCCCCCGCCTGCCTGCGGTCCTAGGGAGATCTGGGCCTCCAGCCCTCCGGGAGGCGCTCATGGCGATGGACAGCATGGTGCCAGGAGTGGATGCCGCAGGCCCTCATGGAGACTCCTGTGTTGGCCCTGTCAGCCCTGCAGGGTGCCTGGCTGGAGCCTCAGGATCAGACAGACCCACCTCCCCTGGCCCTGGCACCCTGTAGCGCGCAGCCTTGGGGCTGTTGGGTGTTCCCAGACTGCATCCTTCTGGGAAGACCGTGGCTGTGTTCTTTGCCCTTGAGCTTCCTCCTTGTGTTTGCGGAGCCGCTGGCGCCAGTCTTGGTGTGCTTGTGTGGAGGCCGGCCACCTGGGCGCTGTAGGGAGGAGTCAGGAGAGGGCCGGGGCTGCTGCCACACCAGGAGGGACTCCCATTTCCTCCTCGAGCCCCTCGCTCTAGGGTTGACTCTTGCCCCGGTGGTGCCGAGGTGGTGCTGTGAGAGATGGTTCAGATTTGTGAAATGATGTGTGACAGGAGGAGGGGACCTGATGCAGGCTGAGAGGACTGCGTCCCTGATCCCCTCTGGGACAGATGGAGACTGGAGTCAGCCCAGAACAGGGCCTCTTGTAGGGGTTTCATGGGGCCCAGGAGCCCCCATCCCACTAGCGTGGTCCCCACCCCCGCTCCAGCTGCCATCGGCCACCGGTCCTCTGGACGAAGTGCCCTGTGCCAATGACTGCAGTCACCCAGAAAGTGAGGGAAAGCCCATGCCTGACCGAGCCCAGCCAGGCCCCCATTTGGCCTCTTGCTTACCTTGTTTTCCACTGTTGAGTTGGGGATTGTGACTGGGCGAAGTCGGGCAGGTTCCTGTCCCCGCTCCTCGCCCTGTCTAGTAGCCGGCCTCCCTCAGCAGGGTGGGGCTTGGGTCCCAGCGGTAGTCCAGCTTTGGGGAGAAGCGCAGGTGGTCTCTGTCACTGGAGGGAGGGATGTGTGGTGGGGAAATATATGGTCCCTCTCCACATACCTGCTGCCCTCCAAGCCTCGGTCTGCCCTGGTGCATGGGACAAAGGAACGGACTTCGCATGGTGGACGCATGGTGAGAGGATGTTTGGACTGGCTGATGGCCGCCTCACAGGCCGTCAGAAAATCCATGTCACGTGGCTCCAATGAACTTTGTGACTTTGTACTCTTTTTACAACGTTATTTAAAGTGATGACACACATGAATTGTTGGCGATCGCCCTTGGGAAGGAATGGAAGCCTGAGCTACTTACATCAGCAGTGCAGTGTGACGCAGACGGGAGACTCCTGCAAGAAGTTTGGCAAAAAGGCACTTTAATTTGATGCTGCTAACTCTCTTCTCGGTTTTTCTGTTCATTTGCTAGAGCCCGAGACGTGCTTGGCACCCTGAGTTTTCTCTCTGATGTATTTACGGGGATTTACCTGCCCGAATTACTCCTGTCATTGCTGATATTAAGGAAACAGAAATAAAATGTACTTGGAAATCCTCCATGGGATTCTTCACTTGATGATTAGATGTGCAACTTCTCTTAAGCAGGAGCAAGCTCACAGACACGTGTGTATTTATCTTAAAAAGTTCTCACTGCTGTTACAATGTATGCTTCAGAACACACATCAGCTCAGCCTCCTCTACAAACCCAACAGTGTGCCAGCACCTTGTCGAGCTCGGCCCCCTCGGGCATCAACTCATCGCCCCTAAGGCAGCGTGTGTGTTTTCAAAGTGACCCGGCCTCCCCTGAGGGGAGGGAAGTGCCCACTGACCTGCCTGTGGGTTCCTCGTCCTGATGTTCCCTGAAGGACCAGGGACTCCGTAGCGTGATGTCGTTGCTGACTTCTCTCTTAACTCTCTTAACCATTTGCTGTTTGCTAAATGTCATGACTCAGATGGGGCCACCCTACTTGGCCGTCTTCTGAGAACCTGGCTGCGACGGTGGTGGCCAGAGCTATCAGTAGTGGATCCAGCCGTGGTAGCAGAGGCAAGTCCGCTTTCCTGCCTGACCGCTTGCTGTTGCCTCGTCCCCTGCCTGCTGCTGCTCCACACGTCACTTGGCGGTGACGTGCCTGACCAGTTACCACAGCCACAGACCCTGGTGTCACCCTGGCTTCCCTTGAGCTGCCACCAGGCTGATAGTAACTCAGATCCACTCTGTAGGAGTTAGCCAGTGCGTCTGCCAGCTGTCGATCTCTGGGACCCCAGTTGGCTTCTGTCATTGAGGATGCAGCACTGACAGCCCGCTACGCCCGCTATTCCCGGGGGATGGACTCTAGTCCAAAAGGGCCTTCTGTGCCTTGTCTCATTCACGGCTTTGTTCTGAGCAGCGGGGATTGGGGCCCTCCAGTAACGCCGTCTTCATTTAACCAGAGGATGTCTCCAGGAAGGGGACTAGTGACGCAGCAGTTACAGTGCTCGCCGAAAGGTTGGTGGTTCGAGCCCACGGCCCCTGGGTGGAAAAGTGGTGGCAGTCTGCTGCCGTGAACATGTATTGTTAGCTGTCAAGTCAGCTCCCACTCTGAGACCCTCTGGACAGGAAGGAGAGGCACCTGGTGCTGCGCAATCCCCAGGAGGACGCTCAAGCTCGGGCTGCAGCCGCTGTGTCAGTCCATCTGGTCGAAGGCCTCCTCTTGCTGCCCCTCGACCAGGCATGAGGCCCTTCTCCAGGGGCGAGTTCCCCCTGAGAGCATGGCCCACGTACAGGGGATGAAGTCTCGCCATCCTCCCGCCTGTACTTACTCCAGGACAGTCGGTCTTCGCGGAAGACCGTGGTACAGTCAGTATTTTTTGCCAGCACCATCGGTCCCGTGTCAACTCTTCACCCTTTTGTAAAGGTCTGCAGAGTTCTCTGCGCTGTTCCTCCCTCCTCAGTGTGTTCGTAGCCTGGAAGTGCTCCTGAAATCTGTTCGCCATGGCTGACCCTGCTGGACTTTGAAATGCCAGCGGCGTAGTTTCAACATCACAGCCCGACAAGTTCAGAGAAGCAGGGGCTGCCACCGAGTACCGTCTCGGAATCCCTCTGGGCAGATCTCCCTTGTTGTGTAGGGTCCGTGGGAGCCTGAATTAACTGGAGGGGTTAATTCCTGGGCTTTCCTGGTTTGTGTTTGGTGTGCAGCCAGGATTGCACCTCTCTCTGCAAAGCGCGCGCAGGCGACAGCCCGGCAGCCCAGTCGGGGAGATCATCTGACTCATTGGGGTTCTTCTGAAGCAGCCACCCCCCCACCCCACCCCCACAGAGCCAGGCAAGATCACACCTTCCTCAAGGGCCTGGCTTTCCTCCTGAGTCAGACTCAGGCTGAGATAACAGCTGCAGGCGCTTCTAGGGGACGGCAGGTATGACGGCGTCCTGGGTATCACATCCATGAGTAGTTGTATCTGCCATTAGTGCTGGGGGCCAGCTGTGAGAAACCACTCAGCAAGTTCAAACCAGTGGCCACAATCGCTGTTTCCTGATTGGTCTCTGACAGCAGCCTCCCGATTTTGAGAGCGCAGCACATGCTGGACCCCTGGTGCCGCAAGAGCCATCGTCTCCAAACACTGGCTCTCTGTCCCCTTTCTATGGATGAGGGTCCACTCAGCAAAGATGGCACCTCTCATTCGCTTCATCTCCAAGCAACCACTGATCTGCTTTCCGACACTCGACCAGTTCGCAGTTACGGGTTCTGTAGAGGTAGTCCTATACGATGCACCGTTTTTCTCAGTGTGATTTTTTATGCTGGTCATACAAAGCTAGACAGTGAGTCAGGAAGACCAAAGAATGGGCGCCTTGGATGATGGTGTTGACGATAAATGTATCGTGGACTGCCAGAAGAGCAGTCTGTCTTGGAAATAACGAGCATGTTCCTTAGAAGCGAGCGAGGATGGTGAGACTTCCTTTTCCTGACTTAGGACATGGTAGAAGGAGAGGCCAGGCCTTGGAGAAGGACAGCATGCGTGGTGAAATCACGGGTCAGTGACGAAGAAGAAAGTCAAGGAGACGGCTCCACAGTGACTGCAGCAGTGAGCCCAGCGGAGCGAGGATGGCGAGGATGGTGTAGGACCGGGAGTGCTCCCTTTGTTGCCCACGGGGTCACTCTGGCTTGGAACCAACTTGATGGCGCTTAACAATAGTTATTTAGACATGTTTCCATATTGTTGCATGCTTCAAAAGTTTATTCATTTCTATGACTATGATTTCATTACACGGATATAACACAATTTGCTTATTCATACACTTCTTGGTGAACTTTCGTGTTTATAATATACATGCTCTGAACATTCATGTCTAAATGTTCACATGGGTATCTACATATTTTTTCTCAACTAAATACCTAGGAGTGGAATGACTTAGATTATATGGTAGGTGCACATGTATGTTTAACTTACATTGTGATTGTATCACTTCCCATAAAATGTACTCGTTTTAAGCGTATAATGCAACCATTTTAGTACATAGCCATCACCACAATCCAATTTTAGAACATTTTCATTACTCCTAAAAGGCCCCTCATTCCTCTTTGCAGTAACTCTGTTCCCACCTGTGTCAGGCTGGGTTGTCTACAGAAACAAAACCAGACACTCAGAAGTAGAAGGAAGTGTATATCAAGAAGTAATTTGATAGCAAGAAATC